GCCCTTATGGGATGAGAAAATTGCCTGTTATAGACTAATTTTTGATAGTTTGTTTCATACAATTGATTGACCCTCATTACAAGGCTATTTTTCATAGACCTGTTAGGTCCTGGCTGGATGATGAACCTGAGTGGATGATGACAGCAAGTGAGAAATGAATTCATGTTTGGGAACAAAAAAGAGAAAATTATCCAGTTCCACTTTTGCATATAAAAAATATTTGAAGAAAAAAGCATTATCTTGTTGAGATGATTGATAAAATCTCAAGCATGTTGTTAAAGCAGATATGCAGAACCAAACCCAAATGCAACTTGGTCAATCCCTTTTTCCCAGGTCCCAGGCAGTTTGCTAGTTTTTTAACTATGAGCTCTCATTAGTTCATTGTGATATCTGCCTTTATTCTGATTGGCAGCTACGATTTCATTGGTTTTGGTTTTACAGCACTGAGTCAAATTCACTCTATCACAGTTTTATATTGTTCTCAGGGAGTCTGCAGAGTTTATTCCTGGGGAATAGATTCACCAAGGGCAAGCCTGACAAAGTAAGGTGTTCCTCCAACTCCAACACATTCATTTCAGTCTGGTTGAGCCATTTTCAATCCTTTGTATTGTTACTCATGACTACAAAAGATTGTGCTCTTTGGACTCTTGCACTGTTGGACTCCTTCTATGCACAACAACCTGCTGTCCAAATAGCTCAGGGTATAGCAAGATTTATGCCACTGAGGATCACTTTTGAATGAAACAATTCTCCATTTTCTTCAAGATAATTTCCAGGGCTAAATTCCGTGGGTCCAGATAGTAAGAAAAAAGTCCCACGGCAGGCTTGACTTCCACACACATCTGCTGCGTAGCAGTGGATTTTCGTCTCAAAAATCTGCCGAGGTCCGCTGTTAGATGCAACATATTGTGGGATTGCATTACTGAGAGTGAATGTAGCTTTCATGAAATTTATATTGAATGTATTTATGGCAACAGGATTCATGTGCCCCCTGCTGAGAGGCTCTTGTTGTATTGCTCTTTTTTCAGGCATTGTTCAAACCAGGAACACCTGGAATAGAGAGGTATTCTACGTGTTTTGCTACTTGTTTCTGGAGAATTAACCAAAAAAAAGAGAATAGATAAATAAAGAAAAATTTTCAGCTCCATTGTCTGTGCTCTGAGGACACTGGATTGTTGGTGAACAGCAAACAAGTTTTGTGATGAGTTAGTTCTTCTGCTTCTGGCTGCAACCCTGATAACTTAGTTTTCATTGGATAATATATGTCACAGTGAAAGTGGAGTTGGAAGAAAATAGACCTGTTCTGATTTTTCCTGCAGGCTTGGATTCCTTCACGCTTGTAACTTCAATTTTTGATTTTCACTTGGTCGGAAGCACTCTCATGACTCAGACTATGACTCCAAGTACAGTTCCGCCACAGGTGCAAACCAGCCCTGGGTGAAAAAAACAAAGACTTGCAAATATCACAAGAGCATTGCCTGGAGGATTCCTCCAGTTTCTTCTTTTTACATCTCTTCTGCTGTATTTTCCAATGAAGGGTGCTTGCTGTGCAGTCACTTTGTATGCAGAATAAAAGGAGATATTTCTGTCCTAATCAAACAGTGAAATAAAGTAGGGAGCTTGTGCAGATGATAGTAACTCTTGTGACCATGAGTCTCTGGGGGATCCTCAGGAAGTAACTGATGAATTTCTTGTCCCCAACTGATACCCAGAAGACCCTATGGACATCTGTTCCCTGCAAAAAATGGTAACGACCAGGGTGACCAGGCCTTACATTGCCTGCAATGAGGAGCCTCATGATGAGTTTCTTAACATAAAACAAACAAAACAAGACTGAAAAATAGTTTCAGTTGAGGAGATGCAGTGATAAGGGTGGGAATATTTCAGTGTTTTTGAAAAGATCTCTGTAAGGAGATTCCATGATGTTACTCCATTCTTTCTTTTTTCATTTTAATGGTACTTTTAATCTTCCTGTTGGGAGACAAGATGGCCTCATGGTAAGCTGACTCCTAGCCAAAATGTCCGTGTTCAAGACCAGGGATCCATTTCTTGAAGGTTCCAGTAATTTAACAGGCCCATAAAGCTGTTCTGTTTTCTTTCATGGTGGGGTTGCAAAAGTTTTTAATACAATAAAACAATCAGCTAAAGAAAGAAAATGGACGGGTTAGGGTGCCTAAACCTGCTTCTCTCAACCGTAGATTCCAATTTCAATATGTTCTCCAGCTGCTACACCACACAATAGCGCTTGCCAGCAGGGTAGACAAAATGTGGGGGAGGGGGAGTGGCTTTATGTTACAAAAACCCAATAAGTCTCGAGTAGACATGGTAGATGGGCCACTCGGCCTTTTGCAGAATTTACCTTCCATTTATATACTCTCTGGCTTCAGAAACTTTGTTGGATAATGCAAACACTAACAGCACCACAAGAATAATTGAAAATGGCCAAACATCTCCTATGTAAAGCATCGTAGCATGCTGTTAAATGCAGTCAGTTGTAGTTGCTGTCAAAAAAAATGGAAAATAATAAATAAAAATAAAGCGGAATAAATCGGTAAAAAAGACGAGAGACTGGGTCACCAGAAGAAGAAACCTGCTGGATTAAAAACGACAAAAAAAATCATGCTTTTGGCGTGGCGAGCTCAACAAGAAAAATTTTGATTCTAGAAGTGACCAGAAAGTGCAATTACTCACCACTAAATCACAAGCTCTGTAAGTCATTTCTTCAATAATAAAGTTTCTTTCCAAACGTTTCACTGCACGTTGTTTCCGCGTGAAATCAATCTTTTTTAGATATTAAAATGCGCAATACATAACGTATTAGAGGGTTTCTTAAAGGAAAAAAGCTTCTGACTTGGCTCATAGCTTCACGGTAAGCGCTGGCATATCTTCAAGATGCAGTCGAAAATTGTTTACATCCGCCATTATGAATCGTTATGCGGATTACCGCTGTACCTTAAGTTCCAGACTCCCTCCCCTGTTATTCCAATTCCCGTTCCCTTTTCAGTTAGGTTTTCACAACATCCAGACTCTATGCAGATTGGAAAAGTAGCTTTCAATCAACAGCTGTTGTTACAACATCCAGACTCTTTGAAGAGAGTTTTTTTTGTGTCATAATAAAATTTACCTGACCCTTCATGATGCCCTGTACTATTGTTCTGACCCCAACTCCTCCTCCAGTTGATTGGCAGTCAAGTTTCTATAGTCACCCTTTATACTCTGTTGGTGACGTGTGATTCCCACCTCCGTCCCCCCTACACACACGCACACACACTGTCCATATTCCACCCCATAGTCCTCCGAACCCCCCCCCCCCCCTTTTACAGGCGATAAATAATGACGGGTCTAGATCAAATATGGACCTTTTGTATCTCCGTTCACTTCTAAATGTTTGTATCCTTGATAATTCTTATTTTTCTTATTCTGCATATAAAAAAACGCATCGGTTGAAAGTGAAAGGGACCTCCGTTTACGATGAATAAACATAAGAATACATTGTCTCGCAGTGCGACTTCCTGCTCTAACAAATGATTTGCAAAAGCTTAAATTTTTAAAGTTTTTAGCTGAATGAAACGTCAATATGTACAATGATACGCAAGTGCAACACAGTGTGGACCTTATAACGTACAAAAGTCAATTTTCATCACAAAAATGTTGTGAAACGACACTGGCAAGCTGGATCTTAATAAATTTATGCATAAAAGTATTTTTCCTTCATATGACGGCTCGGTCACGGGATTCCCCAAGCTTTCATTTATTAATAAATAAAGATAGCTATTTTCATGAAGCATCTGCTTTAACAGATCGAACAAATACTGTTACTGGTTCTGTCCAGAAAGGACGATCGAGTAAGACTGTCGAGCGACCACGAGCCGTTCTCGAAGTTAGAAAGTTATGAAAAATTAGTATTCATAAGTCAAAGGTGGGTCTTAAGGTGTCAACACGCCTCCTGAAAGCCTGCGAAGTCTATTTCATTTGTGGGCACTGGGCTCAAATGGGGAAGCGGATTTTATTTTAAATGAATTTCGTAATAGAAGCCTTAAAAAACTGTTTGTTAAACAGTCGAGGGATTAACACAATCAATTGAAAACGACTTAAGATGGGTCTTACAGAGTAAGTCAGAACAAGAGTTAGTCAGCATTGTTACAAATTGCGATCTTACTTGAGTCATGCCAAGATATTTTCGATTTGAAAAACCGCAGACCACCAGTTTCTCGCTTCCTTTTCAGTTCTCTTTTCCTCCGTTTCTGTTCATCTGTTATTCTTTACAGGAATCGATCTGCTTGAATTAAAGACACTTGACGGTCTTGCCGAATGACTTGCATCAAAAAAATCCCACGCACCATCCGTCTACCCTATGATCCATTGATTATGTGGTCGGTACACTCCGGAAATGAAATCCTTAAGTTGGTTACAATAAACAAGTACAAAGCAAAAAGTGGCATTTAGCCTCACGTGATGGAAATAACACCGCGTGAGAGAAAATTGGATCAAAGAGATCGATAAAAAATTAATGTAACTTTTCCTAAATACTTACACAGCAAATCAATTGCATCCATTACCTCATGAAACCAAAAAAAAGGTACCATTTACTCAGTCCACTTTCCTATTAATGTTATTGGATTTAAAACTAAAATTGAATTTTAAAAAGTTACAGGCTTTCCATAGCACAAGAAAAAAACGTGCGTCGAGAAATGACATCACCGGAAGTACCCCGTGCATCCAATGTGCCTTTAGAAAATGATCTGTGGGTTGATCGCGAAAAGAAGCATTGCTAATGTGTTTAGTTCATTGAAATATAACTTATTAGTGTCTTTGAGATATTTTAATGAAGTTGGATATCATAAAGAGGTTCATTGATAGATTGGAAATTTGCCGCTATTTAAATTAATTGTAATTACCCCGTATAAATAAGCTCACTTCCGGGCACTAAAACACCATATTTGGAAGGAGAATTATTGTCTTGTACTTTGACCAATCACATCAAAGATTACACCAGGGCCCTTTGAAGCCATGTTGGTGCTAGCGCGGAGGTAATTTTAGACACGCTTTGTTGTAGTGTTTTAGTTTTGAATTTCTTCTTGACTTGTCTGCCATCGAAGAGTTTTTAAACGAAGGGGGAGTGTGGTTTGGTCCGCTTTCGTGAGCCCGTCCAAACGCAGATCGCGTTAGAATGTCTCGCCGTTATGACATGGGTGAGCAAGATACTTCGGCGACTCATGCAGTCTCCAATCGTCGGAAAGTCACCGTCAAAGTTTGTATGCTCGACGATTCCGTGGTAAAATTTGATATAGAGGTAAGTGCTTATGCTTTGACCGCCATGAAAGTTTACCATAGGGCAAGAAACGTGCACATAATTTTTATGTTGTCTATTTTTGTCGGCGTTTCATCAGTTCTAAAAGTTCTGAAATTCTCTGATGTGCTTCGCAGCCCGCAATAATAAATACAGTTAGCAGCTGTCTTGAGAAAATAATAATTCCTGGTTATCCATGTGTTTCGTGCTGAAATTAAAAGTAAACTTTCGGTATTCCTCGCCCGACTGTGCTTTCAGTTTGATGTGCGGATTTCTTTCATTTCTTGTTGCCCGATGTTGTCGTTGAAAAATATGCACAAATTGGCATTATCGATCGATGAAGCGTTCGAAGTATTCGATATCGATAGCTCCGAATGTTTTGTGAATGTAATTTAATGGCTTTCCACGTGCTTAATTTTACCTTTAATATTTTTTTACCTTAGATTTCCTTTTAATCTTTGTTGTGACCCGAAAAACCATGCTGTCTTTCATTTTCCGTGGAACTGGGTTCAATTAGTGGAAATGTTATGTCCATCGGACACACACACTCCGTTTGACTTTGCCTCGATAGGGAATTCTCAGGAAATTGTCATTTTTTCGAAATCCAGCAATATTGTCAATGAACAAACTATTCTCTATAGGACTAGATCCTTCCAGAAAGGACAAAGAATAAAAGCTGAAACCCATGGGAGAAAACGAAATCTATCTTCAGTAAAAAAAGCTCTTACTGCATCGGAAACCATTCTTTGTTCCTGTTGGAGTCCAAAATAAACTGTTCTTGATTTCTGTTGCCGGCCCTTTCTTATCGATTATTCAAGTTTTAAGGCATTCAGGAATTATGTATTTAGGTGTTCGTCTCGCTCCATCTTAATATTAGCGCCGCTAAACATTTTTTTGGTAATATTTAGTGGATTATGTAGCGGTTTTGCCTCCGCTATTCGAACAATTTTCAGTAAGTCACTTCCGAAGTGAAACAGATTTTAGCATATAATTTCCATTGACAGCCATTTCATCAAAGATCGATATGCAGGGAAGATGTTAGAAAGGTTGTTGACTTAGATAAGAGTGAATCGTTTATTTGATGTTTGTTCTTTGCCGGGATGTTTTAGAATAGGCGATTGTGCGTCCCAAGGACATGTTAATCCGTGAAGATTTGTGTCGATGAAGTTGATAGGTATATTGAGAATCCTACCTTTCAGTTTATTTAGAACATTTCTTGCTTTTGTTTTATCGTTCTGTTGTTATCATGACAGCAAACTATGACTGGAGAATTTTTTCTCGGTAATGGTTTTATTTTGATCGGCATCTATAAAACGTTAGATTCAAGAAGTCAACAGCGAGTTGCAACTGAAATTACAGTTATGTTTCATTTTTAATTTCATTTGGAAAAATTGCTCAGTGTCTGCTCCTTTTCAGTGTCGAAAAAATTCCTCAGTTTTTAACTGAGCGGTATGATTATGCATCTTCATGTATAAACAGTGTATTACATGCTAAGCCTCTTTCAAGGTGTTTGGAGGCAGCTAATTATAATTAAAATCCGAACTGATATTTCATAGGCTTTGTGGAACGTTGTTTAACTACCTTAGATGCTAGAAATTCCTTGACCCGGAATTCTCAGCATCGAGAGATTAGACATGAACTTTGTTTACACAGATGTACACTATATGGTGTGACTTCAAGACTCTTTTTGCTTTTGCTAATTCATTTCTGCTTTCAGATAGGGTAACTTATCATTCTTTCAATTGAGCTTGCCTAAAGCAGGCACCCTTAATTAATTACCACCATATCTTAATCTCTGACTAGTGACTTCTTGGTTATTCTCTGCAAAATACTTTTTCAGCCAGCAGTTGATTATTCATTTGCATTAACAATTTTCGTATGTTGCACATCGCAAGAATTTCTTGATTTGACACATGTGGCTAGGTCTTACAGTATTGGTTTTTTTTTTTTTTATGGAAAGCTTTCCATAAAGTGTAAGATATATGGGAGTTCTGTTCTCTGAAGGATTTGCAGCTTTTGATTTTACACACATTATTTTCCTTACCTAAGACTGCACTCATTACTCTAACCCCAAAGAAGACACAATTGTAGAACTGTTTATTGGTCTACTTGTTTTGGGTGACTCTAGGAATGTTTGGCAAGTGTGTCAGCGAAATTGGAGCAAGGGTGTGAACATGAACATGTTTATGTTTTTAAAAAAGTGTGGATTGGAAATACTTTGCCACCATGCCTCATTGAGAAGCGTAACATTATTCTTGTTTCTCAGTCTCAGTAAGAATGGACAGGTGCATTGTGGCCATTTATATATGTCGTGGTTTGGTTTTACTTGTAATTGTGTCCTTTGTCAAATGTTAATTTTCTTTTGTTTTTGTAGCCAAAAGGTAAAGGCAAATCTCTATATGACAACGTCTATGAATGCCTGAACTTGGAAGAACGTGAATACTTTGGACTAAGTTTTTATGACAAAAATGACAATTTGGTAAGTGCCTCATTGTATTTATAACAAGTTTGAAACAAGGCAAGATTTGCATCCTGGTGATCTTGCTCTCAATGTCAAATCAAAAATGAAAGGTACAAAGTATAAATGAAAAATGACTTAATTGAAGACTGCAAATACAATCATGACAATTCCCTAGTTTACTTTTTACCACCACATCAGGATGCAGCTCAAGTTGCTTTGGTTTTAATTTAGAAAGAACTTTGTCTTAGTTGTGCACTTCAGATCTTGAACTTTGTTCCAGTTATCTGGAAGTACAATGTGTTTTTGAGGCTTAAAGTTTAGTATCAGGAAAATGGAGTGGCCTTACGGAATCATATTCTCAACATCTAAATAAAACTGGCTCAGGGCACTGAAATTTATCCAGAGAATTCTCTAATCTCTGATGCCCAGTAATCCCTGATACATGTTCTTGAGAAGATGGTCCCAGTAAACATATTGTACATGTAAATAACGAGCTAGATTAAAGTTGAGTTCAAAAATTGCACTTTAGATATAAGGCCTCCATGAATTATTTAAGCACGTGGATTACACCAAATGAAAAACATTGGTTTCCAAAAACTGTTCCAAATGTAAATCACACAGTTTTTGTGGAAATCGCAACCATTATCCATCTCAACATACCACTTCCACCTCCATCACCAATGTACCACTCAAACTACCTCCGAGTTTTAAAATTCCATTGGTTGGGTGTATACAGTGTAGTTCACATTTAGATTTCTTCATTTTGGAAAAAAAAATAGTCTGGCAAGGGTGAACATTTGTATAAGATATGCATTGTATGGTTAGGTGTGATAAGAAATATTTTTGTAGATGTAGATATAAAATTTCTAAATGCCTTCCCATCCTACGATTGTGTGAATGTGAAAAATAAATAAGTAAAAGAGCAAAATAATATATTAATATATTTTCTGATGTGTGTTATTATATGCAACTATGTCTTCTACATCAATACTACATGTATATTCGACCCTTGTACATGTATATAACATGATGTCATAAACAAAAATATTTATGATGTTATTTTGTACTTTCAAAGTGTAACATAGAGGCACTTGAAGAATACTGCCATTGATGCGCTATTGCCTAGCTGTTTTTCACTCTTTCTTTGGGGTTATAGTACTATATATATAAAAATATAGGTATATATATATATATTTTTTTTTTTTCATATATGACAATTTCTTTGACCATTCAGTCTTATCTTTTTCCCCTGATCTGAATCTTTGTTTACTTTTAGTACAGCCATTTCCTTGCAATAATATTATTTGGGATAAGTTCAATGTCAACTTAAAGTGCAAAATTTCTCAGAAATTTTTTGTTAGACTTTGATCACATTGTGTAGAAATTGTGTTGTCATTATATTTTAATTTCCTTAAAAATAATTTTTTACAATAAAAAATACATTGAAAAAAATTTTGTGATAAATATCAATAGTGTGATGATTTGATATGCATTCTGCAAAAAAAAGAGAGAGGAAAATCTGGAAGATTTCAGTTGCACACCTCAATTTTTTCTCTCTAGAGGTGGACTGTTTGTTTTCAGAAATCAATAGTTGCATTGTTAAGTCAATATTTTCTTTAAGTATACTTTGATGTAAATGCACAAAATTTTTATGTACATAGCTCACAACTGATTTTTTTGTTTTCATTAATCTTCCCTCTGGCAATTTCCTTTGTAACGAAAAAAGAGCATTTAAGTGTTTTTTCTTTGTTACATTCTGTTCTTGATGATGTTTTAACCCTCAAGCTAATTTTTGTAATCGCAGTGAACCTATCACAGACATGATGGCCTCCTCTTCCATTCAATTCCCCTAATTTGGCACCTGCAATAAATATTGCTATGGATATGTCTTCATCAGGGAAAAAAGCAATTTCTTAGATTTCTATCAGCACTTTTTGCATATTATTGTTAAATTGTTGTTTTTCTTTTTTTTCCAATAAAAACTCTTATTACTGGTTGTAATAATAATTTACCAAAGATGCACTCGGTAGTTGCTTTCACAGGGTTAGCAGTATATTGATTTTCTTATAAGCTGTGGGTTTTTTCTTTTTTTTTTTTTTTTTTTCACCTGATTTAAATATTAAAAAAATTATGCCTAAAGGGCAAAAGTGTAATTTTTTTTCTTTATATGATATTTTTAAGATTATTTCTTTTCAAAAGGTACATCAGATGTGTGTCTGCAAAGGAGGGTCTTTCTTGAAGTTCAAAATAATGATTTAAAAAAGTAGGGATATTAAAAAAACAACAAATAGAGAAAAGGCTTTTAACGAACCAAAGAGGATATAATTTGATAACTGGTTCATAACAAGGAGGTAGGGAAAATGTTGTGACAATTTCGCCAAATTTTTGTTTGATAAGGAAAAGTCACCTGTATCTGTAGCTATATTTTTAGCTTGATAGTGTAAGAGCTTGTGAACAGTGTGCTGGTCATTGCACTGTGCAAAGAAAATTTTTTTCTAAGCTCGCCTTCGGGCAAGTTGAAACCATTTCCCACCAGCACAGGGCCCTAAGTATGGGCCTTTTGTCATCTGCAAACAGAAAAAGGAAAAAATGTTTCATGCCCTCCAGGCAAATGTTAAATCAAATCAAGTAGCGCAAGTGGAAAATTAACTAATACTGGGTTATCTATCAGGACTTGTCGGCATGTGGTCATAGTTTGGGTATACACGTACATGCATAAGCTACTATAGGCAAGTTATTTACATGTATCCTTCTTTTTTAGGACCTTTTCTATGGAAAATTACTTGCAAGTTTAGCTTTGCCACATGCCCATGACTTATTCATTTGTTTATTTCACTTTGTTTTTTGGTTGTTATTTACTTGTTTATTTAGCTTTAACATCCATGTAAAAATCACTAGTGATCCTTGTTATCTGATTGGCTCTTATTGGTGCAATTTATTAACAAATTGCTCAGTTTTTTTGCTTCAAATCCAATCTTTTTCTCTTTCATTTTCATTATTCTCATGAACATAATGTGTGATTCAGGAGTGATACTGAAGGAAAAATTGATTCTTTTGTTGGATTTGAAATCAAGCATATGATTCCAGACCAAATAGCACCCCAATCAGTTCAATTACCATTATCATTTACTGAAGAAATGTAAAATGGTTTCTCTGTTTACATAGCCTGATGTAAACATGCGGGAGGTTGGGAGAACACGAGATAAGCTTAGGAAACCATGACGCGAAGCGGAGTGGTTTCCATCTTTCTCCCAACCTCCCGCATGTTTACATCAGGCTATGTAAACACAGAAACCATTTTACATTTCTTTTATAAAATAACTAATGAAAGAGGAACGAAAACTGTGTTTATATACGCTCATGTAAAATGGTTTTATGGCCAATCAGAGCGCACATACTATTTGAATTATTTTATAAATGTATTTGTTTGATTTTCAAATGTTTGCTTAAAAAATGACTGGATTTCATCTGTGATTTTCAGTTTTGGCTTGATGATATTAAACCTCTCAACAAACAAGTCAAAGGTGAGAGCAGGGTACATTCTATATTCATGTTATAAAATTTTATCTAAGAAATGTTATAAAAAAATTAAATTTTGCTGTGAGTTACTGATCACGGCGAAAGGTGTTATATTTTGTTGTCGGACAATGTGCTACGGTTGATGAAATTCTCATTAAATACCTATACTTTTTAAATCTTTCTTTTAGATCTCCGTTCAACGCTATTTAGATGCTGTGTGAAGTTTTATCCACCAGATCCTGCAAGTCTTCAAGAGGAGTACACAAGGTACCTTTGTCTCTTTTGTCAGGTTTGAATTAATGGTCCATTTGCAAAGGGTTCATGTCTGCAGCACCTGGGTTTTACAATGAACTGATCTTCCTACATGTACATGTTCTTCACTTCTCTTGCAAATATGGGTTTTGTGTATGCATCTATGAACTTATAATCCAAGCTGTACTGGTAATGGCCTACCTGTCGAGATGCTATCAACCTGTATATCATACATGTACATGTAGGTGCCTTATTAGGCTTACAGTAATTCTTACAGGAAACTTGAATTTTACAACTTACTGATTTTTTGTTTTGTGCCCACAGGTATTTGTTTGGTCTTCAGATAAAGAGAGATCTTCTTAGTGGAAGGTGATTCTTCATTCATTATTTCTTTCTCTTTTTTTTTTTCCTTTTTTTCGCATCTTAAGGAAAGTCCTCCTTGTGTGAGTACATTGTGCACCAATCAATTGTAGTTCTTCTTATGTGGTTAGTAATTTTAGAAATAACATTTTTATACCCCCCTTCTAAAATTTCAGATTAAAATGTTCAGAGAATACAGCAGCCCTATTGGCGTCCTATGTTGTTCAAGGTATGTATAACTTAATCTCACTTGTTTTCTAGCTGCGCGAAATTAGGAAATGCTTCAAGTTTTTGGGGAAGTTCTGGGTGAACATCACTTTTAATTCCAGATTCTTATCTGAGAAATCTATATGTACAGTGTCGCTGAGATGGGATCTTTATCTTTTATCTGCTAGACCAGTTTCTCACACAACTGAAAGCTTCTTAACCCTTAAACTCCCATGAGTGACCAAGACAGAATTTTTCCTTATATTTTCAATACAATATCAAGCAGACAAGTGATGAGAATTAATAACATCAATTAGGTACTTATGAATTGATCCAATACCAAATTCTCTGAACTAACATTATAAGAATTGTAGGGCGTGCAGTAAGGAGAATTAGTAATGACATCTTGGGAGTAAAAGGCTTAACTTTTCCATTCTCAAAAAAATAGAAACCCAAAATTGAGTTTTACCGCTGAAATATGTACATGTATGTTAAGGGATCTCGCTAAGTATTGAAGTGGTTTTTGAGTGGAGATACATGTATCACAGGCAGTAGTGTCTTATTGTTCTCATCTTTTTTAGGTGAACTTGGTGATTATGATTCCATGTCATGCAGACCAGGATATTTGTCAGAGTTTCAATTTTTCCCTGGTCAGGTATGTTTGATCAGAATTTGCCTGTGCATGAAGTTTATTTATATGACATTTTCTTGTTTTTATCTATGTGCTTTCATCTCCTTTATTTTCTTACTCTTTTCAGACAGCTGACTCAGAAAAGAGAATATCTACTTACCACAAAGAGCACAGGTACTCATTATTTTGTACCCTCATGTGACAATTTTGTAGTCACAGGTTTGGTTTTAGACTCAACTACAATTTTTAAAAATAGGATTATTTTTCTTTAAATAAATTGGTTCTCATTGATAACAGCTTTCTCAGAATTCAAACATGACCAATGATACCAACCTTACATATTCAATTTTAACATTTTAACAGTACTGTGTTTATGTTTTGTAAACAGCTCATTTGTCATTTTGTCCAGCTGTAGGTTTACAAAATGATATAATTAATGTACAGTTGCAGTGTCAGGAGCAAACTGTGCCTTGATTACAATTTTTTTACTGTTGTTGAACTGTGGGACATGCTGTATTTTTAGGGCATTGAATTAAAAAAATCATTTGATAGATTGAAATGCATGTATATCAATTTCCTTTTGTTTCTATAGGGGTCTGTTGCCTGCTGATGCTGACTACAACCTCCTAGATGTAGCCCGAAGACTAGAGATGTATGGTATGATACTTTATCCTGCCAAGGTAAGAGATTCCTCTGAAATGCTGAACATTTTAGATCTGAATTGAATGGAGAGGAAATGAGGGGAAGAAAAAATTATACTAAGTTAACTTAACAATAAAATTCCCCTGCCCCCCTCAGACACACTCATCCTTCGCAAGTAATGGTGATGCACTACTTTTTTTATTCCTTACAGGACAAAGATGATGTTGAACTCTACCTTGCGGCAGCTCATATGGGTGTCTGTGTATTTCAGAATGGGGCAAAAATTAATACATTTTCTTGGTAAGTACACCTAGGCGTGTTCTCTCTACTTTGAAATTCCTAATCCTCCTGTCAGTACCCCTCACCTTTCCCCCTTTGTCACCCAAATTACGGGTGAGGTAATACATGTTTTGGTGATCATCTGTGCTCACTGGTTGTATTTCATTTCTGTTTCAGGGCAAAAATAAGAAAGCTTAGTTTTAAGAGAAGAAGATTTCTTTTGAAGCTCCATCCTGAAATATTTGTAAGTTGCAAATGTAGTGAAACATTATGGCCTGGCATTTATGAGGACAGCCATAGGGTTATTACTCAATTGAGTTTTGAAATTTATCTGGAATTCCTTTAGGTTTGCTTTATTCTCTCTGTGATTAGTCTAGAAAATGCACATTGTAGTCTAAACCAGTTAGATGCAAGACTAGAACTAATCCTTACTTAACTTTTTGTGTTTGCTTGTGCTTCAAGTTTGCCTGGTTTAATCTCTCGTTTCTCCTGAATTATTGATGCTGATTACCTTGGTTTTAGTTTTCTGAGACAGTCCAAAACTGCTCTGAACAAATCTATAAATAATTGGGTTGTTTTCATTTTTATCTTAGGGCCATTACAAGGATGTTGTGGAATTTCTAATGGCAAGCAGGAATGCTTGTAAGAGCTTTTGGAAAATTGCAATAACTACACATGCTTTCTTCAGGTAGGTCACTAACTTGTTAGTTTTTCTTTAACACCAGAGAATTGTGGATGACTCTTCTTTTTCGTTTAATGTGCTCTGTTAAAGCTGCATGTACATGTATATCATTACTCTAGAATTTTGCCCCACTGTTCAAATCAAAACGTAAGCCAACTCCATTGTAAGACCATTGTTTTCAAGAGCTGTTTTCATATGTTGGGTCCTCTGTGGCTCCATGGGGTACAGTACCCACAGCTATTTAAGATCCATCCTGGATTCTCAATCCTCTGATTTCAAATATTTGGGTACTCTGAGGATGTAATCTTGAGCCAAGCTGATAAATGTTAAGGGTTGTTCAAAAAATTTTTTGAGATCTTTCTAGAAATGTTGAAGTAGAGAAACAAAGCATGACTACATGTATCCATGCAGTAACTCTTCCACAGAGCCTGAGGCCCTTAAGCATCTGTCTTCTTCATGTGATGGAAAATGTTACGGCACATATCTATCTCTCCATTATTTTTACCAATTTTGGAAAATAAATTTCATATCCATCATCTTTTTTCATCCAAACTTGTTTTTAATGAGTTATTAATGTTAACAACAATCACATACATACACATGTGATTGTGGATCACAACTCTGTGGATCACCTTCCAAGCATATCGAGATTTTTGTGCAAAACCGAACCATCGTGAAGAAAGTAATTGATATGTTTTCTTGCAGACAAAATGTAAGCAACCCAGTTACCAAGTCTCGTCCAAGAATCCTCAGCAGAGGCTCATCATACAGATACAGTGGAAGAACACAGAAACAAATCATTGAAGGATGTCGAACAACTTTCAGACAACAGCCTCCATTTCAAAGGTTTGTTTCTCTGACCTCTTGTTCAAACATTCACAAATGTTACTGTACTTGTTAATATTCATAGTGTAAATTGAACACTACATGTATAGACACCAGGTACATGTGTATTGACAATGCTAGGAATGACTTGGTAATACTTCTTCACATGCAAGTATCAATTCCCACACTGTCATGTATGGAGGTTGTATAGCTACTGTGCTGAGCTTCAGATTAGAGGTCTGGCCCTGAGCCCTTTCTGTTCAGGCAAGAAAAATCAATGGAAACTTGGATGAGCTCTAGCCAGATAGGGGCATGGCCATTATACTTGTACTTTTTCTTGTCCATGAGCAGATTAAGGACTAGGCTTGTACTCTTACATATGCTGACCTAGTACAGATGGAGGGACAGACAACAGAAATCTCCTCAATTTTGTCTTTAGTGTAATTTTTCCTTTGTGTCATTATTTTGAATTGTAATCTTTTTCCCCCTCAGATCACAAAGCATGAAAACACCCACAAGACACAATTCTATGGGAAACTCATCACAACCATCACCTATGTTTTTCTCTGGACTAAGTGAGAACACACCCCCAAGGCCACTGATACCTCTCCAGGAAAAACGGCCCCTATCCTCAAATGGACCAACAACAAGTATTTCACATGAGGATAGACCACAGGAAACTCCACCTGAGGAGGACTTGGTCACCGAGCCATTACCTGAAAAGAAGGGTGCCATTCCACTCCAAGATCTTGATGATGAACCAGATATGATGAGGGAAGAGTCAGATACACCTTCAGAAGCCCAGTCAGAGGCAGACCTTGAGTGGCAAACAGAGCCACTTGAAGTTGCTCCTGCAAGCACTACTGAGGCTTCTGTAAATGTGCATGAATTTAAAGAAACAACAGATGGCAAACCCAGAGAGGCTGTGGAGAATATTGATGGTGAATTTGAACGTGATACACCACTGAATTATTGCAGTGGAGGTGATGATCACAATGTTGATGAGAAGGTTTTGATTCCAGAAGAATGTGTGCGCATTGAGTATCAACCACAACCAAAACCACCTTCACCTGTGGAGGTGAGTGATGTTGACACAATGTCACCTCCCCCGCCATCTCCTCCCCCACCACCACCAGAAGATGAGGAAGATGATGAAATTCCAGGAGAGATCAGAGATGAAGGGGTTGGTCAGGAATTTCCATCACCACCACCAGAACTATTACCCTCACCACCACCTGAGTTGCTGAATGACTTTGAAAAGTAAGTTGATTTACTTATTGGTTGGGTTAACTGGTTTCTATAAATATGTATACTGAAGGGTATTTGAGCTTTGCTGCCATTGACAAAAGGCATTTTTGTGAGTAACTTACCTGGAACTGCACCAGGCAGAGGGCTTTGCCTGTTGAAGCAAATCATTCAGAGAATTTTTTGTGCAACCCTGTACATGTAACACCAGCATGCATAGCTTTGCTGCCATTGACAAAAGGCATTTTTGTGAGTAACTTACCTGGAACTGCACCAGGCAGAGGGCTTTGCCTGTTGAAGCAAATCATTCAGAGAATTTTTTGTGCAACCCTCTACATGTAACACCAGCATGCATATTCTCCATACTGTTCTCTGTATGTCTCCTATGATCACGACAAGGAGGTTATGTTTTACAATCAAGAACTTTTTCAACTGGCAATCATTTCTTTTCTTTTTGAAACCTTGATGTCTAATTCAGTGGCAATACTGTTAGGAAAAATAAGATGGTAGTCAATCCTTAGGGCGATAGGATTTAGCCAGTATATTTGACTGCTGAGTCCAGAACTCTGCCTTTTGATTTGTGGGTTATTGGATCTTTCAAAATCAAGAGAGATGAAGTTAGAAAAAAACAAAAAAGAAATAAATAGCTTGAAATAAAACAGAGGAAAACAATTTCCTCCAAGACCAGAATCTAACTTCTACTATAAGTAAATTGTATGTCCTGATCTCCTTTGTTTAACTTAGTGAATCATTGTTGCATTATGAGTTTGAGGAAAACTGTCACAATTTTACAATCTTTTAGTTCAGAGGAAGTTGAGCGTCCAATACCTGTTGTTCCACATAATGGATTCCAAGAAGAAAATCAAAAACTATATGATAAGGAAGGGGAAAACAGGGACGAGAAAAGAGATTCAGCAAAACTGAACATCACATGTAGCAGTATAGTCACTAAAGTACAGAATGGTGGAGTAACACGACATGGAAAAGGTGGGTACAAGTATTTTTTGACACATGATTTCTTGATATAAGTTGAAAATGCAAGATACAGCAAGAACAATTATTGAGAGAGCAAAGCACAAAAAACTAATTGTGGACACAATAGGGCTGATGCAAATAGTACATAAAGCATCATGCAAGACCTGTGAGATCAATTAAGTTAGCAGGTGAATGCTGAAATTGTTGGAAGTTTGGTCAAAATTTGTTTTTGTCAATGTAGAACGTTCTCTAAAAACTAGAGATGAATATTGATAACCTCCAGAAATTTTTTCAGGGGTGGGTCTTAGTGGTTATTTGCAGTGTGGCTTTCTCAGTAAGCTTGATGGTTAAGGGAATTTTGTCAGGTACATAGGCACAAGTGTTTGTAATGAGGCTTAATCATGCAACCTGCAATAGACTATGGAAAAAAAAATTGATGTTTGTGCACCACGGGGAGCTCTTGGAGTGAGGTGCTCTCTTCACTCTAATTGCTGTAGTACATATTTATGGTGAGAATTTTGCTGGATTAAGTATGTGTAATTATCACAAGAAATATAATTATGCCTTTAATGCTACTTGGCTGAATTAGATAAGAAAATCAACTTTATGTTACAGTGATTATGCCATTAAAAATATATGTAAAATAAATTTGTTTCAAAGGATAAACAATACCTACTACTGGAATATTAAATTAAAGTAAACCCTTGCATTTTAAATGTTAAGATGCTTTTACGAATAAACAGATCAATGGTGCTTTTAATTTAAAAATTGATTGTTCATCTTTCTTTTGCTCCATGAAGTAAACAGTAAAAGAAAATTGTAAAGTAATTAATACATGTAGCAGCTTAAAAAAAAGGCAACGTTCCGCAGTAGACTGATTTACTGATGCTGCATATTGTAAATGTTTTTAGAATGCTGTGCAAAACATAATTTATAAGGTAACATTTCAGTGGTGGTAAACATTTGCGTCAGTTTGCATTGTCATTCAAATGACTTTGGCTGAAAAGTTTTTACATAATTGTCAAAGTAATGACTGTACATCATCAACAGCAATTTCTGGCAAAAGAAAATTCATTGCAAGGATGATTTCTAAACTGTAGTAATTGTGTTGATGAGGGATGCCTTAAGATCCATCCTTGACATCACGAATATCGGTGTACGTCTCTTACTTTTAATTACTAACCTGTGTTATGGACACAGTTGATAACTAGTGAAGTGTCCAATTATTTCTTATACTATTGTTCTTTTTGCTGTCTTTGCTTGAATGACACGCTTCTCTGTCATTGAACCACTTTCATATGCATTCTCTTTAATACAACTCTTTCTCTCATAACTCTCCTTCACTCTCCCTGACATAATTCTTTTCTTCCAAATCTTTTTCTCTAGATTATGATGAAGTCTGTGGTCCTTGAAGTCAACAAACGACAAACACTGAGTAAACATGGTTTTCAAGATAACAAAGGACATTTTTTTTGCTAAGAAACCAATGAATGCTTAAGATGATAAATCACTGGCTATTGTTGGCAGACTGTATTCAAAACAAACACCTTTGCCAACATAGTTATTTGTACCGTAAAGATTTCAAATGTATGATAAATAAACTCAGTATAGGCGGAAATGCAGATGGTTAAAACTATGCTAATAATTTAAAGAATGTCGTCTTTGCTCGAATTCAAAAGCTAATCCATTTCCTGCCTCCGACTGGATTACACTAATAGATTGGTCTAACCTAAATACGGCTTAAACGCCCCTGAGGCGTGTCGTAATAAGAAAACAGACTTTAAATTGACGTGAGGTTTCTTGAGATCTTAATCTCAAGTCTTTTGTTTATTGTGAATTGTCACTGAATTAAAACCTCACGGTTTTACACCTTTTTTTAGCCCTTCAGACAAAAGTAAAGTGGTAGTTTTATGCAAGATGGTCATCATCTTCTGTGAACAAAGAAAAAATTGCAGCGTAATATTGTTAACTGAGCCGTAAGAATTCAGGGTAATATGGTATTGAAGCATTGCTCGTTGAGTATGTTGTTTTGATTAAATGTTTGATACTGGCCAATAAAGTATAACTTCTTTTAGTATACATCTCATTATGTATACGCAAAGGTAACGCTAAAGAAATGAGACCAAACGGAGAGATTATTGAAGTCAGTTAATATTCTTGCGCGTTCTCTGCATACTGCTTCATGTGCAGCCTTTGAACCAGAGCTATTACAAGTTTTGTAATAACTAAGACAATCTAACCAAGAAATGTCTATTGTATTGGTTAATAAAGACAGTGATACATTGAAGTTGATAGTCACAGTTGCATATGCGCTCAAATGTAGATGATTTTTACTTGCGGGCTATACAATCCTCAGGAGTTAATGTTACCTTTAACTTCTAAATTGTGTTGCGGTGTATATCTGCAACTTTGTACTTCTCAGTGCTGTTGTTATCATAAATATGACTCTGAGAGTTCTTTAAATAAAAAGCTGAAGTTATTTAAAAGTTACAGCTTTGTTTAACTGAGAATTTTACTGAATTTGTATAACTTGAAATGCTTAGGTACAGTACTTCGGATAGAGATTCAGTGCAATCGCAGTCCCTCCTTTAAGGACTCTCTTGCTTTCATACTTTGCTTCGTGGTTTTTTTTTTTTTTTTTAACAAATCCTTGTAACTCCCCCGTGTCGCAAGCTTGTAACAGAATCGCGTGGGTATTGTTTTGATGTACAACAGAGTTTGATGCTGAATTCATGATTTATGATGAATTCGTAGCAGCTAGATAAAGTCTCCTTCGTAGCCGTTTTTTAGGGCTCGTGACACAGCTTATGGTCACGTTGGCTAGGAAGAGAACATTTTCATACACAGACTGTAGAGAGGATATCCATTCTTTTTAAAATAACAATGGCTACGCATTCCCAGAGTGCAGTAGCCACAAAAATTTCCCGTGTATCGGGGTGTTCGATTAACTGAGATGTGAAATTTAGATTACATCACTGAGCTTTTGATTCATTCTTGCAGCAAAAATGATGCAACGAGATTGACTGTAGGTACAAATTTTTTGGTTTGTTTTTGTTTCCGCCGCGGAAACTATCACGGTTGCGGAGATCCCTATTCAAGAAACTCTTCATTACCTATGAAGAGTTTTAATTAGATCGTAGCGACAGATTTCCTCGCAATTATCTTCGTAACGACGATAAGAAATATCCACATTTTGGGGATGTCTGTTAATTTAAAGACTGACAAACCTAGTAACCTGAATTTTAGACTCCATCTGTGAGCCCTGACTTGGACAACTGTGATGTTATCCGGCCTAGACATCTGGAAACCCTTGGTGTTTCGATTTCACTTAATTGAGCTTGGTAAATGGCCTCAAATTATTAGGTTAGTTCTTGACAGATATTTCCTCGACTGAGACTGTTATGTTGAAAGTACCCTTAAATTCTCCTCCTAAATGGTAACTGAACATATAAACTACAGAATATTACATAAAAGACACTGTCTAAAAAAGCTTTCTTTCTAACGATAGGAGTTACATTAAGTTTAAATTATCAGTTTACACTTTTGAGACCATGTATATCATTACCTTAATGTTTAGTTTGGCAAGGACACTGTATGGAGAAATTTGATTCTGATCACCCTTAGGGGTTGAAGAGTATGCGAGTATGCATCTCCCTTCCGCTGAAGTCATCTTGTGTCTCATTTCAGGTAGCAGAGGGTCTCGTCACAGCACAGACAGCGGTGCAACATCAGACTCTGGAGAAGCAAGGGATACTATGTATGACGAGCTGTCGTCTCCATTCCGAAGTGACATTGAAACATCGCCCCCAGTGTCTCCCACCTCACCAATTTCATTTCAAAAGGGTGCTTACATCTCCAAGGTAAAGGCTGAATCTACTCATTTACTGAATGGCGGTGCTGGAAGGGAAATTATCTGGCTCTAGGTAAGAAAGTACGTACCGAGCGCAACGAGGTCTTCATGTGATGATCGAGAGCCAAATATTTTCCTGTCCAGTGGGACCAAACTCGTCCAAGGAGCATTTTCAAGACGGCCGCTCTTCGGGAAATAATTATACTAAAAGTATGATTTTGTATTGATCTTTAGGAATTGTACAGCGCAGCTCACAATGTCGCCAGAGAACTGTTGAACACGGAGAGAACGTATGTATAAACATGAAGTTACAACTAAAAAGACACAGACTGCACTCTAAACATTTGAGGAAAAATAATGCAAATCCCTCTTATTTGTGATTCGGAATTTTTTACTTTCAATATTTTTAATACAACTTTGTTACCCCGATTTTACTTTGTCTTTTTCCTACCTGTGTCAGCTTGGCGCATATAATGCAAAACTATTCACTGATTTTTCCGTCATTGATAGATTTGTAAAAGACCTGGAAGTTATCACCATTGTAAGTAGCAAGCTTTATCTTTGTTACTCTCTTTCTCTACCTGAGACTACTTAACTGCAATTAGAGGTCAATCGATACCTGTTATTAACCGAGGTCGAGGTCCGTACCGTTTGTTACTGAGTTCGTTGAAAAAAAGAGGTTCCTTAATTTACAGTACGGACCGATAAAACGAAATTAGTAAAATATTGATTTTATATCTTGGTTGAAAAAGAGGGGGAATATTTAATTTCGAACAAACCTTGAATTTAGCGGGCTATACAGTGAATTACGGCGCGCTAAATTGACCAATCACAGCGCACGTACTTACTGAGAGATATGATAAAGTCATGCGTACTCGACTAACGAAAGGCCTGCTTCGCAAATTATGCTGGAGTGTCCTTACACAAATAGTTTCTCGTTAATTGAAAAATGAAAGTTATTTGAGAAAATCTCATACCCGCCCTCCAGACTAAGAAATGCTTCCCAAGGTGTGCCACTCGAAGAGAAAAATATAATTTCAATTAGCTTTGATGAAATATTAATGAGAATTAATTCATTGCTGGAACATGAGGGACAGTCCTCATTCCATTGCCTTCGGAAAAAAAGTAGGTCTCGTGGCCGTCCTATGCAAAGGGTTTATTGCTGTCTCGCTTGATCAAGGCATATTAAATAGCTTTTATCGTCTGTTGTTTGTTGTTTTATTAGGCCTTTAGAGATGTTGTGAATGAAGACAGTATTCTTCCTGAGGAGAGAAGAAAGCTTCTGTTCTCTACATTTGATCCAATTTACGATTTCCACTGCTCATTCTTATCCGAGCTCGAACAGCGAATGAACCTGTGGTAAGATAATGTCGTCGTTAGTATTACAGAAGTGAGTTAAATCACTTCAGTTTGAAAGATTGTGTCCCAAACTTTCAAGGAAGTGCACGATGTTTTGTGAGGTATTTTGATTCAATTGTTGTTGTCAGCTTGTTTGTTCAATTGTCAGAATATCTTGCGTTTGGGTGCTCCACTGATATGGCTACGGGAAAAAAATTCCTTCATCGATACAACTGTGGTACACTATTTAGGAAAGGAAGTCAAGTCAATAGATTATCGCTACAAATTTGCGCTCTGGTGTGTTTCAGAGGTTTTTCACCTCAGAAGACACTCTTAAATTCAGACCAATGTCAGTATCTCAGCAATGCGCACTTACCCCTCCCCTAACCCAACATTAATCCCAGTTTGTCATCAGTTGAACTTTTGTTGGGTTAGGGGAGGGGTAGGTGCGCAGTAGCTCAGATACTGGCGTTGATCCGTAAGCTCTGTCCCAGTCGTCAATTTGATGGTGGTGGTATTGTTTTTGAATGTTTAGGGATAAAAGTGGAGCGTCTAAAACGAACGAGAGTCCAAGAATGGGAGACCTGCTGCTACGTAACATGAAGCAGATAAAGGTAAGCGAGGACCTATTGGCATAAAGCTGGTAATTTTTAAGCCGTTTCTTCCATCATGGATGATAGTATGTGCTTAAACATTTGACAACGTGGAAGGAGTGTTCTGATTTGTAACTCAAACTCCGAATGTCCTTTGCTTTTCATCTCCGAGCAACTCGCGCGGGATTTGCGCCCGAAAATATTGCAGTCGTTGCAGGAATAAATGAATGAATTAAAGTACTCTTTTTGTGCTATGTGATCTCACGAGTGAAATGAGTGAAATTCTACTGAAGGCTTGACTTTCGCCAAGGACTTCATTTACTGTGGGCAGAGAGAACCATCGGCTACTTTGTAACACAATATTGAAACAGCTTTGGGGTATACAGTCAGAGATTGAAATGTTTCCTACTAACATGGAACAAGGTTGTGATACTTGTTATACATCATTTTTCTGTTTTCGTGGGAGTTATCGTGGGTGTCTTGCTTGCAAACCCGTGTACTGAAGAAGTACGCGCACGTTCGTTCGTTGTATTTGTTCATTCGTGCGTTCGCACTTTTACGGGTTTATTCATTCAAGTTTGTCGTAAAATTTTTAATTCATTCAAGTTGGCAAGTTTGGTTTGGAGAATTCTCATCTTTATGATATGTAGTCTACTCTGTTTCTAAATTTAATTGTTAATTTATTGTCTACTTTACTCTACCTTTGACTAGCGATACCTACACCATGTGAAGAGACACGCCCAAGTGATGCTTGAATTAGAGGATGCAACAAATAACTATAGAGACTTTGAGGTCGCCTACAAAGAGTTCGAGGTGTGCTCTTTATTGATAATGTTTTTATGTGCCCTTGTCAATGTCTCATTTTATTGGTTCCTCTTAAACAATTAAACCTTATTTTTCTCTTTTTTGTAGACTCAAAAAGTTTGTTACCTGCCATTCAGTGCTTTCATCTTGAAGCCATCGCAAAGAATAGTTCATTACAAATCTCTTCTAGAGAGTAAGTCAAAGAAAACTTCTTATGACAAATGCTATCCGTATATAGTACAGCCAAGGCCATACCAACGGCCAATTACAAATAATTTAAAAAAGAACGAGATTACTCGAAATAAGGAAAAGCAATCTGCTTCATACAGTTTGCTTTCTTCAATAAAGTGTGTCCGAGGGACATTTGAATTTTGGTCTCCGTTCTGTTTATTTGTGAAATAATTCTTTTTCCTCTTTTCAGGACTTTTAAAGTTTTATCCCACTGAACACATCGACCATAAGGACACTCAAAGTAAGTAAACGTAACTTTGGTTTGGCTCTACAACCATTTGGTCCATGAGTAGTTTGGTGGTTAAGATGAGCAGAGTCCAAGTGTTAATCAGTTACCTACTATCGTACTGGAATTTATTTTTCAAACGATTTTCCTTTATATTCTACGTTAGCTTAAGATATTTCTTTTACGTTTATCCTTCCTTAACCTAAATCGTGATTTTCTATTGTGGTTGCTATTCATATCCTTGTTAATCTATTTCTGGGAATTTTGCGTTTAACCAAGATACTCTTTGAAGCTTTATTTCAAAGTTTGCAAGGAAGTACATGTATATCGATTGAAATTGCAAGGAGAGGTTTCTTTTTATTCGATTGTTGAAGCTAAAGGATTTATCTCCACTTTCATGCGAATTTAATTTTGTTTAAAATTGTAGCTGTTTATGCGAATTACTAATGCACTTTCCCTTGCTGATACTTTTGCTAACTACCATGCTTTATCAACAATGGACATGAAATTATCTGAAATGAATTTGTGGAAAACATTTATCTTGTCTTTGGGAAAATTATTATTCTGATTTTTCTATTCCTTATCTAGGAGCCTTGGAGGAAGTGAACGAGGCAGTTAAAGCTGTAGAGGAAAGTATAAGGAAACTGGTGAGTTGAGTAGGAAGCTGTTTACATTTTACATTGTTATTGTATCTTTGTTTTTATTGAACGTTCTTGTTTTTTTGGATAAAACATTTCTCCAGTCTGGCATATCAAACAATCTTGAAAGACCTAAAATTTTCCTATTCTCGTTGTTTGATAGGAAAACTTTCAGAAAATCATCGAGCTTGAAAGAGATTTGCTTGGAGTTGAAAATCTCGTGCAACCTGGAAGGGTAAGTGATTGGTTATACAAAACAGCGGTGTATATGACTAATAAGTCAGGTTTTTTTACACAAAACAACAAAAAATAAATAAATAAAATAAACAAACAAACGGAGGAGGACTCAAACCTCTTAGTTGTTTCCTATCATTTATGCCTCAGCGTGTGTTTGAGGGAGTCATTGTTCCCATGTGATATGTTTTTATGTCTCTTTGTAGGAGTTTATCCGAGAGGGCTGTCTTCAGAAAATTGACAGGAAAGGTCCACAACCAAGGATGTTTTTCTTGGTAAGAGAACACTCTTTGTTCACGTTTCTATGCAATATAATTATGTTCTTGACATCAATTTAAAATTTTGTTGTGTTCTTCGTGGCAGTTTTCCGATATTCTCCTCTACACGTTCAAAGGCGTCACGTTAACAAACCAGTTTAGAGTGCGGGGCCAGATCCCTCTGGATACCATACGGGTATGTTCTATTAATTGCTGGTTTGATCTGCCACTGATTTACATTAGGAAAGGGAGGCACATTGTTAGACCCCGAGATAATAACGTGTTCTGTGTGTTCAATTTACCCGTAGCTTGAAAACAGTGGTCCGGAGATGCACGGGTTATATTCATTTACTATCATCTCGGAAGCAAGAGAAATTCATTTAGCGGCAGGGTCAGAGGAAGAAAAATACAAGTGGATGGAGGATCTGAAAAGAGCTGTAAAACAAGCTAGAGATCGGGTAAGCTATTCTTTTTGCTAATACTCTCCAAGATATGTAGGTAGGGAAATTGGCAAAAAATATACCTGATTGTTCAGGACTTTGAAACTGATTTTTGTTATCAGGGAGTCAAGACCAAGATTTTCTACTTTTCTTAAGTGGATGATCATTTGATTATGTTTGTTTTTATTCCTACGATATTTTGATTTGTTTTAGTCTTGCCGAAGTTCCAACATGTTAGTTACAAGGTTTTAATTCTTCCAGGTTTTTTGCGGAGCTTGCTCTCAGAAGAGATCCAACTTTGCCTACCGAACCCCCAAAATGAGATCAACTCGATTCCTATGCGAAGAATGCTACAGCGATCTAGAGCAAGGTAATGAATATTTTCATGCTATTTTGTCTTAACCCTCTACACCCTAAAATCAGTATGCATATTCTCCATACTATTCTGTAAACATTTCCTAAGATGTCGACATGGAGAATTTGTCTAACAATCAAGATCTTCTTTAGTGGGTGATCAGCTCCTTTATTCTCCTGACCTTAATGTTTGATTCAGGGGTGATATGGTAAGGAGAAATTAGATGCCAGTCACTCTTAGGGGTTAAAGGGTTAAATAACCACCGAAAGAACCCATATCTAGTTGTCGTGTTCTTTGTTACTACCAGTCAGGAGATAACAGGGTTAAATTAGCAATATGGGCTGGAAAAAGTGGTTTTTTTTTTTAATTTAGTGGGGTAAAGGATTATCCACTTATCCTGTAAATAATGTTCTTTCGTCCCCCTTTGCAGAAGAATTACATAATGGAGACACTCCCTACCCCCAGATGGGATCAGGTGACAAGGTCCTGCCCCTACCCACCCCCGTGGAAATAACAGGAATAGCAGATGGTGATGGATCGGATGACGAGATCAATTCTAGTCCAGTGTCAAGCTTGGAAAGAAGACATGCGCACACTCACACCATGTCCACACGTAGAGTCTGTTGGCATAGAAATACTAGTATTAGTATGATTGAACATTCGCTTTCTGTGCGAGTAAGTATAACTACTGTTTACGTGGGAAGTCTATTCCATTCCATTTTATTTATATAGGCCTGGTAGCCATTGCATGTACGTTGTCATAGAAAAAAGCAAAAACAAAAAGAAACAAAAAAAAGAAAAGGCCAAGAAGGAATTTATGGGCATGTTAAACTACCCGCTTGCTTCACGTGCGGCAGCCGAACGACTTAATCGGAATTTCTATCGAGAACCTATTCCAACTTCTTGAAAGTATGAGATGTTGTGAGGAATATATACGCTAAGATTAAAAAAAAAAAAAAAACAGAGTGGGGTAAATTGTATTATAACAAGGCTCTTCTGAGAACAGGTTCTCACTCCATTCCTGTTTTATTTCAGAATCAGATGAGTGGAGAATTGCTGAGGAAATTCAAGACTGGAAATCGATGGCAGAAACTGTGGGTCGTGTTCACAAACTTCTGTCTTTTCTTCTACAAAACACACGAGGTATAAGTGTGCATCCATCGGGAAAGTTTGCTATTCTTCAACTTTTATTGTTTTAAGAAAAATACATGTTCAAACATATTTGTGTGATTTTTTTATGGGAGGTTATCTTTCAGACATTGGCGCTCGCCAGTTGAAATTATTTATATACTTATCTCTCTAATTGTTAAATATTAACTCAAGACTTTTTTTCCTAGGACGAGTTCCCATTGGCGAGCTTACCACTGATTGGTTACTCGGTTGGGAGACCGGTTGAGGTAATAATTTGGAAATCAGCATATTTTTCCTCTGGAACATAGTGACTCTGTAACTTTCTTCGCCATTAACTTACCTTAGGCAGATAGGAGACTGTAAAGGACTTGAGATGGTTATAATACGGTTCTTATTGTTATTAAATTGCTATTAAATAGCTATTTCCGCAAGTGAGCAAGATGAGTCCAGCGCTCTAAATAGCTACCCGAAGAAAATCAAAACCAAGAAAACCAGGGCGAGTTTTTTCAATGCAATATGCGACAAAGCCAAGATCTTTGATTTTATAATTCGGCCACTTACAATACATCCTTTGTTGTCCAAACTTTCTTTTACACGACGGCTCAGAAGTATCCAGATATCTTCACCTTATACTTGGTCTATATTACATATTTATTGACTTGCTGTCACTTTTTAGTGGGATACACAACGGCCTACCAGTGCACTCCGGGTAGAGAGGTCTGGACTTAAGACTGGGCTAGTAACAATTCGCACTGGGTACCAGCGAACTAACCGTGAAGCCTGACACAATGCTGGGCATGGAATAGAATTTCACTGAGGGGGGAGGGGGGGGAGGGAAAATTAGTAAAAATTAGTAATGCTAAGAGGCCCTTAAATCTAGAGATAAGCTCCAACCTTGTGGGCTTCAAGACAAACTGAGCATTTGACCTTGACCCTTTTTTTCCTTTACAGGCCGATGGTATCGACAAGGACCTCGTTTTCAAGCTGCAGTACAAGACCCATGTGTACTTTTTCAGAGCCGAAAATGAATACACCTTCTACAGGTGCAGCAAAACGTATTAATATCATGTAAACCAAATTGTGTTCACCAATAGCTCAAACCTTGACCACCGAAATGGTGTTGCTTATTTTGTGATGTTTTATTCACAATGTTTGTCAACGAAACTTCGTAAACAAAGTGTCAGCAAGAATGAAAACAGGTTGTTTCAGTAATGGAAGTGTCTGGTAAGAGCAGGAGGGAAAAAAACATACGCGTTCGTCAATTGAAGCGCTACTTTCTCTCTTGATATAAATTCATAAAGCATTTCTTTTGCGCCTTTGATTTCAGGTGGATGGAGGTGATTACAGGTGCAACCCAAAGCTCATCCAGAGTGCGTCTTTTCAGTCGTCAGATCAGTTCTGTTCATTAAGCAAGCTGCGATTTGGAACAAGCTGCTTCTTTGTTGTACGTTCACCCGAGGTATTTTATAATCGTTTTATTACATGCGTGCGCTGCTTTTCTAACGGGTGCCGCGAAGCCAATCTTGGAGAAAAGTGAGGTATTGTTCCTGAACAGTCTCTCAAGCTTTTTTACAATGGTGACTAGGATCGTAGCCAAACAAGGCTTTTTTACCGAAGGGATGCGTCTGCTACAAGCTGTGAATGTGACCCTTTGTGACCGTGGAGACGAGAAATAAGTTAAATTGCTGCAAGGATCAAGGGCAGGCCTTCACCTCAACATAGGCCGGAGGATTTCTCCCCAACACTTCAAAAATTCAAAGGCATGGAATGGAAGTATCGTTTGACTTGTAATGATTTCCCAGGCGCGCATTCAAGCTGACCTAAAATGGGTTGTTGGTTCTCTTAAAGAGTCTGCAGTGAATCTCTCATCTTGAACGTCTCTTTCAATGTGGAATGGGCTTTGCAGCATCCAGTAATCTTCTCTTAATTGTACCCGATAGTGTTGTTGCTGAATGACTCAAGTAGTTTCCGCGAGGGAGACTTAGGTAATGGTTAGAGACCATATAACAGGGCATGATAAGCAGCCGTTATCTTGGCATTACTTCAACGCCAATTTTAAGCGTTCTTCTTAAAAAACTTACTTACAAACACATTTTTTTAAGAGGTCTATTTCCTACCGCTTAATACTATATTGTTATTTAGTCTCTCGCCTGGTACTCCATTAACTTACAAACTCCGAATTTCTTCTCCACAGTTCTTTCATTTTAGCTTCCCCTCGTTTTCTTGTAAATTAATTGAGAGTTGGAGTTCTCTAAAGATAAAACTTGTACATAAGGATTTCTATTCTCCCCATCTGTTCTCAGTAATGTATTGCAATTACGAGGAGAAGTTTCATGTTAATCACTGATCGGAATGAAGACAAAGACATTTAAAAATGCGGGTGCGGAGGAAACAGTTTATATAACAATGTTTACAGTTTGGTTTTCGTTCTTGAGCGAGAAAGCCATTGAATTGTACAATTATAGAATATCTTGCTTATTTTCAATTTTATTACCGATTTTAACAGAAATTGTCGTACGCCGGAAAGGGGTCTCGTGGTAGAGTTTAAGGTTCGGTATATTAAAAATACTTATACCCTCTGCTGCCTTGGGCGAATTACATTAGGGGAAATTTTAGACGTTGGGAAGGTGAAGAATTTTACATAAGCTAATTGTAGCTCGCATAAACATTTCCGTTGCAAAACTAATGAAAAGCTTAATTTTAGGTGTTTAATGCTACATCCGGATTTGATATTAATGTGGAAACTATTTTTCGCGTTGTTGATGTAGCGAGAGTGCTTTTACGTTATTTGTATTTACCATCACGTTGAACTTGAGCCAAATTGCAAAATCTGTTTGAAAGTTACAATTCGACTGCTGAAGCAATGAACCTGAACGTAACATTACCCAAGTGACCTTGAAAGTATTAAGCAAAACAGTGGTTAAGTTAACCCTTTAACTCCCAAGATCTCTTTAGTAATTGTCCTTACTGTCTGGCATACAGTTCTTGTGATGTTAGTTTGGACAATTTCTTATTTGAGCAACTCAAAATCCCCTAACTAGTATTTTTCGATATTCTCATCACTTGTCTACTTGTTATTGTATTGATATTGTAAGGAGAAATTCTTTCTTCGTCATTTATGGGATTTAAAGGGTTATTGACGGATTCTGTGTTCGTAGTGACCACCCGAGCGGGAAAGATAAGCAGATCTTCCACTCTCCGCTTTGCTGTCTTTTCTCTCGCCAGTGTGGATTTCTTTGGTGTAGTATTTTACTTCAGAATAATTTTTTCCTCAAGCTTGTTCGGTCTTGATGGCTGGTTATGGGACTCTACTTCGTCTCAGCTGGTAGAATCGCTAAAGGACGAACTTAGCCCATATCTTGCCATTCTGACCTCTATTTTGGACAACAATGGGCAGTACATTTGAGAGAAAGTTGTTACTCTACATCAACAAAGTGAAAAATAGTCTCAGACTCTCGCAATAACGTCAGGCAACTTTCAAACTACGTGGAAACTTCGATTTAACGGCCGGAAGAGACACTTAGAACTGGACATGACATGCAAATGTTACACACCCCGATTTAAACACGAAAGGATAAGGAGAAGAAGACTCAGTTACTTAAACAGTTTGTAGAACTTATGAGAATGCTTCTAATCTTGTGAGTCTTATCATAAAGCTGTCTCGGCACATTATTGCCCTCGGTTGCTATAAAAATTAAAAAAAAAACAAAAAAGGGGTCTGTAACGCTTCTCAACCGTAGGTACATACATACATCTTGATACACCTATCAGGCAGTGAGAGCGAGCGTGCTCTATTAATTTTCTATTAATTTGTTTTCGTTGCATGAGAGTTGCAACGTATTAAAGCTTTCGAATTCTTATTAAGGTGAAGGGTCTTCTAGCTGTAATTGAGAAAAGACCGAGGATAGGCCAAGATGTGTGTTTATTTCAAGTTAAAAGAGTCTCCTCACTATGCGCGATAATCTCGAGATGGTTGCGCCTCAAGGAGTTGTTATCTGAATGGGACTAGTCGGGCTGTCGTTTGGTATGTGTTATTTACTAGCGTCGATGAAACTCTAGGGCAATTTTTGTTGTTTTTGTCTTTTTGTTTGTTTGTTTGTTTGTTTGATTACAGATTGTTAGTCTAAAACCTGGGTAAATTGCACCTTGGCAATTACACCTCTCGCTGTAAAGTTACTACAATAGTGTTTCGGTGAACGTGCAATTTTAACATCATTTACCTGTTTACCTGAGTGCTCTTCATGGCAGGGCTCTTCCATAATGAATTGAAAGTTGCCCAATTGCCCAATTGCCGTGTCGCGCAAAGGTCGGTCTTATTGTTGATTTGGTCGAGGATCGAGATTTGGATCAAGCGATTGGATGTGAGAATCCGTTAAAGCGTGGAGACTCTTTTAACTTGAAGGTTTGTCTTGCAGGTCAGAATTTTGTACAGAGTATTGAGATTATTCAGAAGAATGGCTAAATAAATGTTAAATTTATATTCTTTAGAGTTATTATTCATGTCGAGAAATTCATTGTAAGTTCAAATAAAGTTTTGGACATAACAGAAATAAAGAAGCTGGCGAGTTCTTGCATTTTCTCATTGGGTGTCCAGTGTAGGGAGGCAACCACTGCTCTATTTATTTGATGTAGTAGGCGTTTGTTCCTTATTCGCTTTGACGAAGGGTAGTCGCTTGAAATGTGAGCTTCACAAACTCTTTAAGGTGGCCAACTTAAATAATCAACTCATTTGATAAGACCATCTCATATTACCCCCCCCCCCCTTCCCGCCGTCACAGCATTACAATTTCTTTAGAAAGTCAACAGGCAAAGGCCAATTCGAAGAAAACAACAACACGATGCCTCAGCAATTATTGTTTTACTCTAACAGAAAAAGGATAATCTGTTCATGTTGTCCTTCAGCAGCATAATTAAAAATATAAAACTGTTCTAATGAGGCCTCAAACTGCTGTTTAAAAAGTAAAATCTAAAATCCAAGCTTTCGCCGATCAACGGCACCATCAGGGATGAGAAATTTATGTAATACTTGGTGGCCAAGTGCAACTGTGCAAACTTAAACCTTTATATACGCATTGAACCACGCATTGTACCACGCAACCACTCTTCGAAATGTAAACTTCACATCGTTTTTTCATACTAAATTCAAAATTATTACCGGATGATGAGAAGCCAAACCCTTAACATGTAATAAACTGAGCTCAACGTTTAAGTAAATTACCAGTAAATGGGCCTAGCTGTCGATTTGCGACTGATAATGAGTACGTTAATAAATGTTGCATGAATGCGCAAGTGTATGCGCGCACTTTTTTTCATAATAATCGGGATGGCCGTGCAGCGAGCGACACATATTTTCTTGATGTCTTTTTACGCGCTTTTGGTAATCTTAGCTATCTTTGCTGTACCGGAAAGTTCGGCCGACTACTGTGGAAACGTATTTGAAACTTCAGCTAGTACGTACTAGAAATATGTGATGTAATTTTCTTTTCTATTTTCGTTTCACAAATCAGTCTTACTCTTTCTTTAGACCGTGTTTTACTTGGTCATGTCATCGACTCTGTTCTTAACATCGATGAATTTGAGTGTCGGCTGAGGTGCATCGGCGAAAAGGGTTGCAAGTCGATTAATATACGTCGCAATGGGAACAAAAAGAATGTCTGTGAACTTAACAGCCAAAATCGACAGACCATGCTACAGGACTTTAGAGTGGAGAATAGTTCCACATATCATGGCTTTGTTCAGGTAAGCTATTTAAAAAGATGTTAAAATTAAGTTTCACAATATGCTGAGTTGGTTTGACAAACTTAATTCCACCCACGATGACACCGGGAGTTTTTGGGTTGTTAAGAGGAGTAGGTGTGGAGTTTATATCAGTCTCTTAGCGCATTAGCTTGCGCTCTCCGTTTTGAAACTCCAACCAAAGCAGATACACCGATATTAAGCTCGATATTTACATTGTGCGTACCGCATATCATTTCCATCACGTTTGTCAAAAACATTATTTGACAATGAAATTTTTGTCTAAGCTCACTTCAGATAATCAATCCTGTAAATAACCAATGTTATTTGCCCTTAAATATTGGTAAAATTAAAACTATTACTAAACTAGGGTTGAAAATAATTTATGCAGAATATTTCTTCGATCAGCTCAAGTTCAAGAGATCGCAACATTAGCTTCTAAACTTGCTTGGAGACACAATTTCAACGCAAAGAACTGCTGGGTAAATTGAGATGAGTCATCCTTTCTTCCTTTCAAGAGCCCTTTGAAAATCTCTCTTTCCTTTTTCTATACCCTTTAAATTCTGAATTCTCGGCCTATTTTGTAACTATAACCTTACGAGCAGAGTATGAAAGAACCCCCTCCTGAAGCGACAAATCAAAGGAAACTTTTTATTGAAATTCAAAACATTTCATTTCATTTTTACAAAATTATGTTCTTCGAGATCCCACGTTCCCTTCGCCGAGACAATTCACTTCCAGGTAATTCTGATGATCAGTTTGAAGTTGATAATATGAAAGGTAAATTGCCCTGGCAAATTGAATTGTACAGATCGTTTGATATGGAATGAAACCTCTCCTTGATGAACACGATTTGCCATTCATGCTCTGCTGTCAAAAACGGCAGGTGTTTTTATGCAAAGAGGAAAAACTTGAAATTGTTGAAAAGCAGAAGGAAAGCTAATAATAAAATAATGAGGTCTATTTTCGCAGGTATAAAGCCAAAGTCTTTTTGCCCGAGCTAGGCGAGGGTTAATACAACTCTAAAAGGGCTCAAAACATATTTATGCCCAAGAACAGAAACTCTATTCTTATTATCATCACTGGCAAATTGAATTGTACAGATCGTCAAATTGTTGAAAAGCAGAAGGAAAGGTATTAATAAAATAATGAGGTCTATTTTCGCAGGTATAAAGCCAAAGTCTTTTTGCCCGTACTTTCAGCACGAAAGAAGCTAGAGTTGCATCTTTCGTGCCCTCCAAACTTCCCAAGTGCTTCATATCTCGATGAACGCACAGCTGATGTATGAACCAATTGTTTTATAACATTTTCAACTCGATGGAAAATTTTTTTTCGCGAGGGATTTGTTTGCTGACGTCATGAGCGTGCACAATAGGAATATGAAGCACGCTCGCGCAATTGAATTTGATGAGACAAATTTACTAGCTATGTTATAAAACACTCTGAATAATCACACAAGAGAGCGAGAGGGCTTTTTTTCGCAGGGAGGCGAACTCTGACCAAAGCTGTTTTATTTAACCCTTTAACTCTCAAGATCTGATTGTTAATTCTCCTTTCTAGCTGCCACACATTTCCTTGTAAATAAGCTACAAGAATTTGGTGTTAGATCAAATAACAACTTCTACCTGATACATTTGAGTATTCTCATTACCTGTTTGCTGGATAGTGAATGGATATTGAAGAGAGAAGTTACTCGTTAATCGCCTCTGGTAGTTAAAGGGTTAAGGAAGGAATTCGATGTGTACTGACCCAGCAGTGCTTAGATCTAGAGCTTAGTGCAATCTTATCATGACTCAAAATGAAACACAGATAGCAATGATAAACTCAGCAATCCAAGGAATTTTGCGTCGATCGACTCGACAACAGAAGTTGAAAAGCTGACATAACATAAAGTTTAAGAACACAAATATTCTATTAACGGTAACCTTAACCTGTTACTGAAGTCTTTCGGAAGAAAATTACTCCTGAGAGTGCTCCGCCTGCGATAAAATCAACCCTTGGTTTTCTATCCTCACACCTTTGCGTCATTTTAACTTGTGTCTGTCCACAAGACAAATCTTGTTTTTGAGCAGATATAAATCGTTGGATCCTCCCTTCTGTCGCGCGTTTTCCTTAAACAACAGGAAAAGAATATGGTCTTTTGGTGTAACTTACTCAACTTCCACACACACAGGTTTCCTGTGTCGACATTTCCAGTGATAAGAAAAGACAAAGAAAGAGCAGACTGTGTCACCCAGGATACCATGGTGAACGATGTCAACCAGACCACAGTGAGTAGCAACAGCGTGTTTTTGGTGTGTACTTCTAAATTAGGAATACACCGCAAAGCATAAAACTGAATGACATAATTATATAAATTTTCTTTCTCAGAGGGCTTGTACTCCCATCATCCTGCTTCGTCTTGCAAAGAAATCCGAAACGCAGGACACTTTAAAACAGACGGGGAATACTGGGTCGATCCCGAAAAGAATGGGAACGCTCTAAAGGTCTTCTGCGACATGACTACTGACGGAGGTAAGCTCAAATAAGCTCTATCCAACCGTTTCTGGCAAGGTCTTAAACAATGGATAATTAACCTTGGAGAACCTTTGGCGGAAATTTTCAATCTATAGCCATTTATAGTACTAGGGCTTAAGCCACACAAAAACAAGAAACTAAATTTCCTTTTTTTGGTCGCTAGATATTTTGTATGGATATGCAGAATGCGAAACATCTCTCCGGAAATAAAAAACTTCCCCCTCTTCTTCTCACATTATAATGCATAAATCATTATTATAAAGAAAAACCATGCATAAAACAAGCACAACACGCATTTACTTAGTGTTTTCTTTAATTCTGTTTACATGTAATTTGATGTTTGTATCATTTTTTCCTGCACTTTTTTGTTTTCTTTTAACCTACCTTTTTTCTTTAAATTGTAAGTAGTGCACTCTACACACTGTAAACGTTTTCGTTTTTTTTTTTCTTTTCTTTTTTCTTTTCTTTTACAATATATAGTTATTATGTTTAGTCGCTCTATTTTTTAAAAAATAAAAAAAAAAAAAAGCTCCATCCTGCTAAAGCTAAACCGTGCCCTCAACTTCGATGGAGCGGGGAAAATCGGGAGTAAGGCAAGGTTTATATAGAAGATGGGAAGCATGTATAACTAAGAGATTAGTACAGCAAGGGGAATAGTTGTGTACTGTCCTTTTGGTCACCGAGGGAAACCTGTTTTGAAACAAAACATACTTTCCCGTTGCATGGAAACGATTTCAAAGCGAAACTGTATAGCCAAGGGACAGAAATAAACAATTAATTCGTTTTTTTTCAAATTTTATCAGGGCTTCATTTTCTTGAAACATATTATCTAAATTCCGCTTTATTTAAGACTTAGAGGAGGCTGCCTTCCTATTTCCAGCATTTTAATTGACATGTTCATAAATTTTCCAGGAACTGTCTCGACGCACGTAGTTTTAATTTTTGTTTTCATTTTAGGGGGCTGGCTTCTTATATCGAGCATTGTCTTTGACACCGCTGCCCCAAATCAGATGACTGTAGTGCCATCATACCGTGGTATTAACACCAGTCAGATGGTGCTCACAAGAGGTGCCGTGAATGAGTTGAGATCACACTTGGGATTCACTCAAATACGATTCCACTGCAGTAGGCATCCGGGCCATATATTCCATGTGGCCACAGCAGCTAACAGCACTGGGGAGGCTGTAGTCCAGTACTTCAGCGGTCAGACGGACGTCCAACCAGATGCTTGTGGCTCCTTTGTCAGAATGGATAATGACAACTCGATTATGTCAAGACAGTGTCATCAGTGGGGATGGGAAAATGGAACGTACAAAGTTGGAAAATGGGGACATAGTCGAGATCAGGATAGGTTGTATATTTACCCTGCTTTTG